CCAGTCTGGGCGACAGAGTGAGACTCCAACTCAAAAAAAAAAAAAAGAAAAAGAAAGAAATACAGTCTTTGAAATGTAATTGAGTTAGGATGAGGTCATTAGAGTAGACCCAAATCCAATATGACTGTGTCCTTACAAAGGAGAGAAGTTTGGACACAGTGAGGATGCCAGGACAACCGAGCCCCAAATCGGAGCGATACAGCCACAAGCCAAGGACTGCTGACCACCCCCAAAAGCTAGGAAGCGGCAAGGAAGCGCTCCCCCTGCAGGCTGCTCCTGTCAATACCCTGATTTTGAACTTCTGGCCTCCAGAACCATCAGACAGTAAGTTTCTGTTGTTTTAAGCCGCCCAGTTTATGGTTTTTTTGTTACAGCAGCCCTAGGAAACAAACATAGCCACCCCAAGTGCTATTTTAAGTAACTGGGCTCTTCAACTTTTTTTTTTCTCCTTTAGAGGATGTTCATTGTCTATTGTGCAAATCATTCTCTGGTTCTCATGCCATTTAAAAAATATTTAATAAAAAAATTAATAAGCAAAGTTAGATAAAAGTGTTTAATAATAAAAATATGAATTAAGATCACCTTGAAGCTAATGTTTAAATTAGAGCTCTCTTCTTTGTATGCCAGAATGGATGGTGGCCCAATGCTGGGTAACGTTCTCAGGGAAGGCTCGAACAACGTTAGGAAGTCGTCCTTAAACTAAATTTTAAAAGCGAGAGAGAAAAAAATTGAAGGCTGAATATGTGACTTTTACCATGAGAACAGTGTACTAGTTGGTGTGATAAACAATTCTTACCTCCAGCTCATATAAAATATTTAGTTCTGGCTCCTCTGGATTAACTACCCATTTTTCTGAAGAGAGGAGAGACGTATAAACCTTTGTGCAGCACAGTCCACTTTCCCCCATCCACCCTCCCAGCCCATCACACACATGTTGTTTAAGTGCCCTGAACCCCTACATTCCCTCCTCCTTCTTTTTTAAGAGACAAGGTCTCCCTATGTTGCCCAGGCTGGCCTTGAACTCCTGGGCTCAAGTAATCCTCCTACCTCAGCCTCTGTGTAGCTGGAAATACTGGTGTGCTGCCATGCTGGCTTCTGCATACATTCTTAGGGGAGTGATTTTTCTGCAGCGGATGGGCTCCGTGCAAGTTAAGGTTGTTCCCTGCTGGTAGTTGACCTTTGCCAGCAGAAGGGGACGGCCCAAGCATCTATTTACCTCTTATCTTAGCTGCCAGACATTCAGATTCAACTTCCATTACTGCATCGTCTGCTTTCTTCTCTGTCAAAAGAGTGTACATTTGTCATCAATCTGACAAAAAGGAAAAGAAGTTGAATATAAAAGAAAATACATCTTTTGGAAACATAAGTGCCCTTTACTGTGTTTATTTAGTTATTTATTGCCTTTTTCCAAATAACATGTTATCAACAATAAGGAATGAAGAGAGACCATTGGCTACTCTGTGTATCTCATTTTAAAATGTTTCCCCCATTTCTTTCTTTCTTTCTTTTTTTTTTTTTTGAGTTTTTTTGAGTCTGGAGTGCAGTGGCATGCTCACGGCCTCTCCCGCGTCAACCTGCTGGGCTCAGGTGATCCTTCCATCTCAGCCTTCCAAGTAGCTGGAACTATAGGTATGCACTACCACGCCCAGCTAATTTTGTATTTTTTTTGAGTTGAAGTCTCACTCTGTCGCCCAGACTGGAGTGCAGTGGCCGCTCCCGGCCACCGCAGCCTCGACCTGCTGGGCTCCAGCGATCCTTCCGCCTCAGCCTTCCAAGTAGCTGGAACTATAGGTATGCACTACCACGCCCAGCTAATTTTGTATTTTTTTTGAGTTGAAGTCTCACTCTGTCGCCCAGACTGGAGTGCAGTGGCCGCTCCCGGCCACCGCAGCCTCGACCTGCTGGGCTCCAGCGATCCTTCCGCCTCAGCCTTCCAAGTAGCTGGAACTATAGGTATGCACTACCACGCCCAGCTAATTTTGTATTTTTTTTGAGTTGAAGTCTCACTCTGTCGCCCAGACTGGAGTGCAGTGGCCGCTCCCGGCCACCGCAGCCTCGACCTGCTGGGCTCCAGCGATCCTTCCGCCTCAGCCTTCCAAGTAGCTGGAACTATAGGTATGCACTACCACGCCCAGCTAATTTTGTATTTTTTTTGAGTTGAAGTCTCACTCTGTCGCCCAGACTGGAGTGCAGTGGCCGCTCCCGGCCACCGCAGCCTCGACCTGCTGGGCTCCAGCGATCCTTCCGCCTCAGCCTTCCAAGTAGCTGGAACTATAGGTATGCACTACCACGCCCAGCTAATTTTGTATTTTTTTTGAGTTGAAGTCTCACTCTGTCGCCCAGACTGGAGTGCAGTGGCCGCTCCCGGCCACCGCAGCCTCGACCTGCTGGGCTCCAGCGATCCTTCCGCCTCAGCCTTCCAAGTAGCTGGAACTATAGGTATGCACTACCACGCCCAGCTAATTTTGTATTTTTTTTGAGTTGAAGTCTCACTCTGTCGCCCAGACTGGAGTGCAGTGGCCGCTCCCGGCCACCGCAGCCTCGACCTGCTGGGCTCCAGCGATCCTTCCGCCTCAGCCTTCCAAGTAGCTGGAACTATAGGTATGCACTACCACGCCCAGCTAATTTTGTATTTTTTTTGAGTTGAAGTCTCACTCTGTCGCCCAGACTGGAGTGCAGTGGCCGCTCCCGGCCACCGCAGCCTCGACCTGCTGGGCTCCAGCGATCCTTCCGCCTCAGCCTTCCAAGTAGCTGGAACTATAGGTATGCACTACCACGCCCAGCTAATTTTGTATTTTTTTTGAGTTGAAGTCTCACTCTGTCGCCCAGACTGGAGTGCAGTGGCCGCTCCCGGCCACCGCAGCCTCGACCTGCTGGGCTCCAGCGATCCTTCCGCCTCAGCCTTCCAAGTAGCTGGAACTATAGGTATGCACTACCACGCCCAGCTAATTTTGTATTTTTTTTGAGTTGAAGTCTCACTCTGTCGCCCAGACTGGAGTGCAGTGGCCGCTCCCGGCCACCGCAGCCTCGACCTGCTGGGCTCCAGCGATCCTTCCGCCTCAGCCTTCCAAGTAGCTGGAACTATAGGTATGCACTACCACGCCCGGCTGATTTTTTTGATTTATTGTAGAGATGAGGTCTCGCTGCCCAGGCGGGTCTCGAACCCGCGGGCTCAGGCAATCCACTCACCTCAGCCTCCAAAGGCGCAGGATTACAGGCTGAGCCACCGAGCCCGGCTTAATTTTGTATTTTATTGTAGAGACAAGGTCTTGCCAAGTTGCCTGGGCTGGTCTCGAACCTGCAGGCTCAGGCAATCCACTTGCTTTGGCCCCCCAAGTGCTGGGATTACAGGCTGAGCCACCGAGCCCAGCCTCCTCATTTCTTTCTAGTTCAAGAATACAATAGTTCCCCTTTATCTGCAAGGGATATGTTCCAAGACCCCAGGTAAATGTCTGAATCTATGAGAAGTATCGAACCCTGTAGATACTATGCACAAATTTCTTTTTCCTTCTCAATTTTACAGATAGAAGATTCATTCTTACCATAGATCTTAGCAACCTCAGCATACAAATTTTTTTTCTTTCCTAATCAGGTAGAGAATTTTTACCTAAAGGAAGCACTTTATGGTTCTCTTTGGCATATTCGAGTTGCCAGCACCACTATTCTTGAGCTTTGGGGCCATCATTAAGTAAAATAAGGGTTACTTGAGGACGGATGTGGTGGCATGTGCCTGTATTCCCAGCTACTAGGAAGGCTGGGACAGAAGAGTCACTTAAGCCCAGGAGTTTGAGGCTGCAGTGAGCTGTGATTGCACCACGGTACTCCAGGCTGGGTGACTCTAAAAATATATAAATAAGTAAGGTAAAATAAGGTTTATTGGACACAAGCACTGCTATACCACAGAAATTGATCTGATGACCAAGAAGGCTACTAAGTGACTCTGCTGGACAAGCGGATGATTTATGTCCCAGGTGAGGTGGAGTGGGATGGTGAGACTTCGTCATTCTACTCAGAAAAGCATGCAACTTACAACCTATGAATTAGTTCTGAAATTTTCCATTTAGTATTTTTGGACTGTAGTTGACTATGGGTAACTGAAACTGTGGAATGTAAAACTCTGGATAACGGGAACTGTTGCACTACATGGATGAATATTTTACTCAGTCATAATCATGCCTGGTCTTTTGTTTTCCACTTTTTAAAGTACCATCTGCTTACTTTATGTCTGATTTTTTTTTTTTTTTTTTTTTTGGAGTCGAGGTCTCACTCTGTCGCCCAGGCAGGAGTGCAGTGGCATGCTCAAGGCTCACCACGGCCTCAACCTCCTGGGCTCAAGTAATCCTTCCACCTCAGTCTCCCGAGTAGCTGGAACCATACACATGTGCCATCATGAGTGCCCGATTTTTGATTTTTTGTAGAGATGAGGTTTCATCTCACTATGTTGTCCAGGCCGGTCTCGAACTCCTGGGCTCAACTGATCCTCCTACCTTGGCCTCCCAAAGTGCTGGGATTACAGGCATAAGCCATTTTGCCCGGCCATGTCTGTTATTTTGTATGAAGTTTTTCAGGTAGGAGGGCACTGAGGATTCTTGTTCAAGACAGTGAATGAAACCACTAGATTACTGTATCTGGAGATTCCAAAGCAGCACTGGATATAGGGAAGAAGGCCATTAGTATACCAGCAACTTTGGATGTTTAGACGATTTAAAGCAGAAGGGACTGGAGTAATGAGAGACCAGTCAGAGCAACCTACAATGGGATGGAGGCAAAGGAAGGAGACTGCAGAAATGCGAGGGACTCATTTTCCCCCTAAGGCTGGGCAGCAGGGGTCACCGTTGGGGCGACAGACAGGTTTCAGAAGTTAATCTATTGTGGGGGAGTTGGCGGCAATGTGGAGTATCTGAAAAAAGTTTAAACATGTTTTAGGCATTTTGTCCAACATAAATGTTGGATCAGATCTTTTTTTTTAAATGCACAAAGATTTTCATTAAAACATCATTTGTTATAGAGAAGAGCTCAAAAACCAGCACAAAACAAAACAAGAACAACCCTGAAATGTCTCGTAATCTGATTTACCATGAAACTGCCTATATAAAATTAATATCGGGCCAAAGCTGTAGAAGAGACCTGAGCCCTAAAAAGCTGCAGCTATGGTTAGACATGAATACATCTGTTGCTTCTAAGTTTGCTTTCACTCCAATAAAGAGCAATTAATCATCTCCATGTCCTGACCCCTAGGAAGGGGGGAAGTTGCCTGGCAAGGATGATCAACACATACTCCCCAGGAGTGGGCCTGAGATCTCTGTCCAGGGTATAGTACCTGATGGTCATGAGACTTGCCTTATAGATAGCAGTTGTTGTAAAACTCAAGAGAGGTATTTGAGATTTTTCAGACTTTGCACTCTGATGAACCTGAGGCCCCACCCAGGCCCAGAACACATATCAGGAAACTGGCTCCACTGGTCCTGTGACACATCCTCCTAGAAGTGGGCTCTACAACAGGAAGACAGTCCTGATATGCCTCATGACATCATCAGCCAATCAGCAGCCCTTATCCTCCTGCCCACCAAGTTTTCTTTAAAAACCCTATCCTCTGAATTTTGGGAGAGGTGAATTTGTGTAATATGTTCCAACCTCCTCACTCAGCAGATTTGCAATATTAAACTTTCTCCATGGTAACTGCTGCATTGGTTTTGGTTTTTCTGGGCAGTGGGTATAAGAACTGGTCAGGCTGTAACAATTACATAAGTCACAATAACTGTATAGGAGGAAATATTATGCAGTAATTTCAAAGAATTAGATCAATCAATCCTGACAGGGAAAGATATCTGTGATATGCTGCTATTTGAGTCCATTTGGGCTTCCGTAACAAAATACCCTAAGCTGAGTGGCATATAAATGGCAGAAATTTATTTTCACAGTTCTGGAGTTGGGAAGGCCAAGATCAAGGCACCAAGACTCGACGTCTCATAAGAGCCTGTTTCCTAGTTCATAGGTGGTGTCCTCTCACTGTGCCCTTACAGAGTGGAAGAAGCAAGGTGGCTCTCTGGGTCTCTTTTATAAAGGCAATAATCTGGTTGGGTTTGGTGACTCAGTTTGTAATCCCAGCACTTTGGGAGGCCAAGACGAGTGGATTGCCTGAGCCTGAGGGTACAAAACCAGCCCAGGCAACTTCGCAAGACCCTGTCTCTACAATAAATCAAAAATTAGCCAGGAGCAATAGTGTGCACCTGAAGTTTCGGCTACTTGGAAGGCTGAGACAGAAGGATTGCCCCTAAGTCCAGCAGGTCGATGCTGGGGTGGCCGTGAGCATGCTACTGCACTCTAGCCTGGGCGACAGAGCGACACTCCAATTCAAAAATAAATAAACAAATGTGATAATCTCATTCATGAGGGCCTTCATGACCTAATCACCTCCCAGAGGCCGCATCTCCTAAGACATCACATGGGTGATTAGGTTCCAACATATGAATTTGGGGGGAACACCAACACTCAGATCATAGCATTCTTCCCTACCTAAAATTCATATGCTTCTCACATGCAAAATACATTCATTCCATCTCAACAGTCTCTAAAGTCTTAACTTTTCCAGCATAAACCTTAAAGTCAAAGTCCAAAGTCTCATCTAAATATCATGTAAATCTGATCTATAAAGGTCTGAAAAAATGGAGAAGTACACTGGGTTCTTGCAAAACAAGGCACTATTAAAAATCAAGACAGTATTAAAATGAAGGCAATATTAAAAAGATATCAATTATTCCTAAATTAATCTATACAGTCAGTGTAATTTTGACGGAGTTTTTCTTTTTCTTTTTTTTTTTAATCTGAGTTGGAGTCTCACTGTGTCTCCCAGACTGGAGTGCAGTGGCATGCTCCCAGTCACCGCAGCCTCAACCTGCTGGGCTCCGGCGATCCTTCCACCTCTGCCTTCCAAGTAGCTGGAACTACAGGTGTGGCTAACACGCCCGGCTAATTTTTTATTTTATTCTAGAGACAAGGTCTCACCAGGTTGCCCAAGTGGGTCTTGAACCTGCAGACTCAGGCAATCCACTTGCCTCAGCCTCCCAAAGTGCTGGGATTACAAGCTGAGCCACCGAGCCCGGCCTAATGGAGTTTTTCAATGGAATTTGACAGATTGATTCTAAAATACTTTTGGAAGAGCAAATGTCCAAAAAGATCTGGAAATAATATTTTGGAAAGAAATAAGAAGGACAAAATTGGTTTTATCTTATATTAAGTATGTAAAGCTATACAAGTTAAGACAATGTGATATTGGTATAGGAAAATGTTAGTAGTTCAGTGGAACAGCATATTCCGTGTGTGTGTGTATGTGTGTGTGTGTGTGTGTATAACACATATATGATAAGTTAGTATAGAATAAAGATACCATTTTGAGGCAGAGGGGGAAAGGTTGAACTATTTAATGAATAATACTGGGACAAAATTTTTGGAGAAAAAAGATGGTTATTTTCTCAAGCCAGTCCCCAAAAGTAAAGTCCATTTTGATCAAGGTGCTAAAAGTAAATAATAAAATCCCAGAAGTTTTATTGAAAAATATAGGAAAACATGCTTATAATCTTGAGTTAGGGAAGGGCTTCTTCAATAAGCCACAAAATATAAAAGTCACAAGGAAATATCTATTTACATAAAAACTTTAAATTACATATAAAAAAAAACTACCACAAGCAACTATAAAAGACAAAGTGGGAGGAAAAATTTGCAACATATGCAACATTCAAAGAAATATTAGAGACATGTAAAGAGCTGCCTCCAAAAAAAAGAGAAGGAAATAAAGTAAAGAAACAAAGATAAAAGACAACCCAATAAGAAAATGTGCAAAAGATATGAACATTTGTTTGTTTAATTCAGAGAAGTTATTCAAGCAGCCAAAAAAAAACCCAAACATATATATATATGTATATCATAACAAGGAGCCCAACCTCACTAGTAATCAAGGAATATTAAACAAAATAATAATGATACTGTATAATTTTCATCTACCAGACTCAGAGTTTAAAAGGGGGACAATTTCAAATACTGGGAAGGTTAGGAAAAGAGTAGTCTCAGCACCCTTTTGGAGGAAGCATATATTGGGTCAGTTCTTGAGGAAGGCGATGATTGAAATGCACTCAGCAAGGCCATTTTCTTGGCATGTCTCGGAGAGATACTCGAGAGGGGGCAGCCTACTGTAACACTGTGGAAGTGAGAATCTGGGGAAAACTTTATGTATCAGTTGGAAGATCTTTAAATAAATAATTGCACATTTATGCTGTGTACTATTATGTAACAATTAAAATGAAAGAGGAAGGCAGGGCCCGGTGACTCATGAACGTAATTCCAGCACTATGTGGGGGCCAAGGCAGTAGGACCCCTTGAGCCCAGGAGTTCAAGACCAGCCTGGGCAACATAATGAGGCTTTGTCTCTACAAAAAATTTTAAAAATTCGCTGGGCATGGTGGTACACACCTGTGGTCCCAGCTACTCAGGAGGCTGAGGAGGAGGATCACCTGAGTCCAGGAGATTGAGGCTGTGGTGAATCATGATGGTGCCACTCACTGCATCTGGGTTACAGAGTTCAAAAAAAAGGGAAGACATAAAGAATGAAAAAAATGAATGAGGAAGATCTGTATTTACTGACCCGGCAAAATTTCCAGGGCATAATGTTAAGTGAAAAAGCAAGGAGAACAACATATTGAGTGTGATATTATTCAAGTCACAACAGCAGCCAACAAAAAGAGTCAAACTACTGTCTATATGTCTATACGGATGTAAAACCTTAGTAAAAGATTTGGAAAGATACACACCAGCATGGTAATAGTGGTGACCTCTGACACTGGGGGCAATTATCAAAATATACTATTACTTGATTTGCATTTTTTTGACTTTTTAAAAATAAGACGCTGTTTGGCCTGGCGCAGTGGCTCAAGTCTGTAATTCCAGCATTTTGGGAGGCTGAGACAAGAGGATTGCCTGAGCTCAGGGGTTTGAGACCAGCTTGGGCAACTTGGTGAGACCCTGTCTCCACAATCAATCAATAAATAAGTTAGCCAGGTGTGATGGCACATGCCTGTAGTTCCAGCTACTTGGAAACCTGGGGTGGAAGGATCACCTGAACCCAGCAGGTTGAGGCTGTGGTGGCCGTGGGCGTGCCACTGTACTCCAGCCTCAGCAACAGAATAAGACTCTGACTCAAAAAAATAATAATAATAAGACCCTGTTTATGCATTAGTTATGCCACCGTGCCACTAAAAGCTTAGCAATGCAATGGAAGGAGGGTAGGATTCCATCTCTTCAACACTTATTTCAATTCCCTTCTCACCTTCCCTTGAGCCCACTTGTCAGACTGGCATCCCCATAGTGACCCTGAAAGAGGTCCTATTCCCATCACCAAGGACCTCCATACACTAAATCCTGTAGTCAGTTGTCAGTCCTCCTCTCCTGCCACTACATAGCATCTGACCCAGCTCATCATTCCCTCTTCCTTGAGACCCTTTCTTTCTTGGCACCCACAACTCTTTCCTGGTATTCCTTCTATGTCATTGGATTTTTTTTTCAGTCTCCTTCTCATGTCCCTAACTTAGAGAAGGGTTGCGGGATCAGCTCTTGGGCCTTTGCTGCCACCATCTTTTCTCTGCAGTCAGCAGTCACTATAGCACAAGTTGGATTGTTATTCCTCCCCGCGAATCCTCCAGTGTCTTCCTGCTTCTCTCCCCTCAAGAAAAACTCGGTCCTATTATGTCTTTGGCCCCATCCCCTAATATTCTCCTCCTTGCTTACTCCATTTCGGTCACACAGGCTTCTTCTGTTCTAGAAGGAGGCACTTGCTGGTCCCTTTGACCAGAACACTCTTCCCTTGAGAGCTCTGTGGCTCATTTTCTCACATCCTTGGGTCTTTGTTCAAATATCTCAGATTCTCCGAGAAGATGTCTGGGTACCCTGTGTGAGTGTGCAGCCCTCCCACCCCAACTCTTTCCATCCCCCTCTCTGCTTTATTTTTCTCCTTAGTGCTTTATTTTTCTCCTTAGTACATAATCTAATGTATTATATATTTACTTATTTTTATTTTTAGGGACAAGGTTTTGCTTTGTCACCCAGGCTGGAGTGCATGTTTGGTTTCTTGCTTTTTTTTTTTTTTTGAGTTGGAATCTCACTCTATCACCCAGACTGAAGTGCAGTGGCAC